CACAGCCACTGCTACAGGTGTTCACTCAACCTGGGTCCAATGGGCAGACCAACACAAAATTATAAGCTTATTCAGAGCACTGAGACTTTTGCTTTCTTCTCTTTCTTTCTTTTCCCCATAATGTGACTGTATAGTTCCTGAGTGTAAATTTTGTAGTCAACGCCACAGCCCGAAGCTCTCAGCAAGGTTAAGTTTGCACCTATTATATTCCAGGATATCTGGAGAGGGAGAGTTTGGTGAGATTCAATAAACTAATTACAAATTCTCCTGGTATGTCAGCTCAAGTGGCAGTTCAGTGTGGTTCCATTGCATGTACAGTCACTGAGTGTTTGCTCGGGGGAACTGCGGTAAGGGGCACTGGGCTTGATATGGCTCCTGCACCACGGGGCTGCTGGCCATGACCTGATACCAGAACCTCTGACTCCAAGTCAGGTTTTACTTACCTAAGAATGGGCTTTTTAATCGTACCTCTCTTTTCATAAGATTTAATTATTATTTATGTGTTTTGCCTTCAAGTGAGTCTGTGGACCATGTGCATACAGTGCCCATGAGGCCAAAAAAGGTGCTAGGTCCCCTGGGACTGGAGTTACAGACAGTTGTGAGCCACCAGGAGGGTGCTGGTAATTGAATCGGGGTCCTCTAAGAGCTGCCAGTGCTCTTGAGCACTGAGCCATCTCCCCCACTGTTTCCTATTTCTTAAAATTGCTGTAAAGGTTAAGGAATATAAGCCATACTAAGTGCACACAGTAAGCCCTTGGGAAAAGTCGCCTTCCTGCCATAGTGCTCCATGGTCCACTGAGCGCTTCACAGACGTGACAGAGTGCCACATATTTGTAGTGGAAAATTGAAACAGATATTAGAGAAAACAGGTTTTGTCTTATTTCATGCATGATCGTGACTAAAGTATATAAATCATAGGAGCAAAAAACATTCAAGATTGATCACATCTAGTTTGTAAATCCTGTGTTTTACAATGTTAGTGGTTTGTTGGGAAATTCAAGATTAATAGGTAATTTTTTAGCAGTTCTAGTTTTCTGTTCTTTCTTTTCTTTTTTGCATAGACAGCTTTCTTAGATACATCCTGACTAATACACTTCAAACTGCTCTGGCAGAGAAATCCAACCATGCCTGGAATTCATTCATGCCTTCATTTCCATTAACAGCACACACTATGTAAGCCAAGTCTCCACGAGTGAGTCAGAATTAATAGCCAATGTTTGCTTTGGGGGTGGAGGCCATCACCATCCTCACAAGAACAGCCCTAGTCTCAGCTTGTCCTCATGGTGACCCACTTTCATTTCCAGGTGAAGGAAAGCAAACTGGAGCCTGAGGAAGAACAGAGCAGCATCTTTGGAGCGGCCCCTGGTCCTAGCACTCCTGTTCTTAGCTCTTTCTTCCCCACAGCCACTTGAGCTCATTCACAGAAGGGGCCACGACGATGCAGGTCCACTATGTTTGGGCCGTGTAGCAGTTTTCGAGGGACTTGAAGGGGATGACATCAACCACCAGGAGAGCTCCGCCTTTAGTGTACCCGAGCAGGCAAAAGCTCTATGAGTGACTGGGAGTCACACTCTTCTCCCAAGTTCTAGCATGCACTCTTTAGATCTGTCTGGAGGCAAGAAAGAGCCAAGTCTTAAAACATAATGGGTTGGGCCAAATTGCTGGGTATCCATTAGGGCCTCTTGCAACATCAGGCAGGAAGATGGCCCAAGAATCTGTCAGGTTCCATTCTGGTCCAGAAGTCTATGCTGCCATGTACCATATATACATGTATATATGTACCTAAGTCATCACCATTAGTGACAAACATACAGCCCCCTTAAGCACCAGAAAAGGGAATGGCCCTGTGAGATTCCTAGGAGCAGAGTGTTGCTTGTTTCTTGGGTCATTCATAATGCCACACACCAGGTTCAAACCCTAGAGTTCAGGCTCTGCTGAACAAGTCTGGAGCAGGCTGTGTGAAGACAAGTTTGTTTACCTAGCTTGCCAAAGGCTGCCCTGCTGGAACCAGGCTGGCTCACTGTGGCTGTGCTCACAGAGTGGCCTTTATAGCCTTGGGGCCCATCTCAATGGCCAGTCTATTACATCTCCTCAGAATTCTGATGTGACATATGATGAGGCATATGAATTCCAGTGCCAAACTTAGCAGGGAACTCTAATCCCTCAGATGTTCCTTGTTTCTGACCTCAGAACTTCAAGACACATGGTGATCTCCACAAGTCAGGGGCGCCTCCAGGAAGCACCTCGCTCCCCACTGACCCACCTTGCAATATGGTTTATTGACAAGAAACAAAGAGGGTCCAGGTTATGTGCTGCCAGAGATGGCTCTGCTAGAGCACTAGCTGCTCTTGTAGAGGACCAGGGTTCAATTCCAGCCACCCACATGGTGGCTCACAACTGTCCGTAACTCCTATTCCAGATAATCAGACACTCTCTCTGGCCCCCAGGAGCATCAGACACTCAAGCAGTGCTCAAACAAAACAACATACAGATAAACAAAACAAAAGCATAAAAACTGTAGGCCAGCAAGGAAGAAGGAAACTTCATTTGGAAAGATTTCACATCATTATCAAGACCTTCCAGAGGCTGAGAGAAATGTTTGAGGTGATCTATGAAATGACAATGTGACACAAACAGCAGAGAAGTGACAGCTTTTGAGGGAAAGTTATCCTTTTAGTATAAAGAGGAGAGAACTCATGGGCTCCATTACAGTCAGGCTAAGCCCATGCTAGGATGAATACAATGTGCTCTGCTGCTCATGAGGGCTCAGGGCTGGCTGGGCCACTTCACACTGTGATGGCTCATTTTCATTTAGACTGGATTTAGACTCACCTAAGAGACACACAGCCCTGGGCATGTCTGTGTGGATGTTTCCAGAGATGCTTAACTCAAGTGGGAAGACACACCGAATATGAGTGGCACCACATTCCAGACGGAATTAAAAAAGGGATTTAAGTTCTGGCATCCCTCCCCCAGGGTCTCTGCACCCTGGTAACACAGAAATATAAGGAGTTACAGGTCAAGTCATGCCCCACCCCAACTCCATTACACTTTCCGGGCCATGACAGATACCACGCTCTCAAACCATTGGCCAAAATAAATTGTTCCTCCTACATGTTGCTGTTTGCCAGGTTACAGCAACAGAAAGATGACAATCAAATTCACCTAGAGTCAAATGTGTCAGAGCTGGGGGGTAGGTAGCCAGCACCCAGCTCCCTCCCAGAAAATGTACAGCCAGGTGGACCTGTACCCAGCTCTGGGGTCACATCAAGAGCTTCAGCTTATTCAATTTAGACCCAGACAAACCCTCTATGATGATGACACATCCAATTATAGCAGGTGACACCTGTCTTCTCAGGGGCTGTGCTCTTCTCCCACCAGCCCAGCTCCCTCCAAGGATGGCCACTCCCACTCTCTCCCCAGAGGCTCATGGCCAACTGCCTCAAACACATGCCCTGCTCCTCTGAGGTCCCACCAATCACAGTCCTTTCAGTTCTAATTCCCTGACTCACTTGGCAGATGCTGCTCCTCTACCTCTGGTGTCTCTGTTCCTCTACTCCTGTCTCCTCTCTTCCTGCTGTCTCCTCTCCTCTCTTCCTGCTGTCTCCTCTCTTCCTGCTGTCTCCTCTCCTCTCCTCCTGCTGTCTCCTCTCCTCTCCTCCTGCTGTCTCCTCTCCTCTCCTCCTGCTGTCTCCTCTCCTCTCCTCCTGCTGCTGTCTCCTCTCCTCTAC